TCCAGCCTCCAGCCTTCCAGCCTTCCAGCCCTCCAGCCTCCAGCCTTCCAGCCTTCCAGGCGGGTTGGAGGGCTGGAGGCTGGAAGGCTGGAGGGCTGGAAGGCTGGAGGGCTGGCTGGAAGGGAAAGGCTGGAGCCTTGAAGGCTGGAAGGAGGGAAGGTTGGAGGGGGAGGCAGGCTGGAGGGCTGGAGAAGGCTCCAACCTTTTAATGCTGGAGGGCTGCAGGGCTGGAGAAGGCTGCAAGCCTGGAGGGCAAAGGAAGGAAGGCAGGTGGAGAGGGCAACGAAGCAAAACTTCCGGATGTTTTAAAATTGGGCGGCCCCAAGCCACTGCTGCCAGACCTAGTGCAAATGATTTGTTTAAGCTGTTTAAATGTCCGGGTGTTTAAAAGTAGGCGCCGTACATGCAGGCTTCAAAGGAACTCCACAATCCCGACGCCGCTTGAAAGATGATCTAAAGCCTAAACCCTAAACCCTAAACCCTAAACCCTAAGCCCTAAGCCCTAAACAGCCCGAGGAACGGGATGTGCAACCAGGAGCTCTTGCAGTCCTCTCTCCTTTCCCTTGCACCTGAGTGCTTCAAGGCTGCTACGGGTTCTTGGGTTTAGGCGAACTTTAAACCCTAAACCCTGAACCCTAAACCCTAGGGTGCACCTGAGTGCCTCAAGGCTGCTACGGGTTTGGGTTTGGTTCAGGGTTTGGGGTTTAGGGGAACCCTAAACCCTCAAAAACCCTGAACCCTAAACCGCAGGGTTTGGGGTCCTTCAGCGTAGTTTAGCGTTCTTCGTCAGAGGTCTACTTCGGCCGGCCATTGAACCTCAATATACCTCAATACAGCTATGGTGGGGGCAGTGTAAGTTGGGCGGGCCTTAGTACGTAATTATGATAGGGTTTTGGGGTATATTGCCCTAAGGGTCCAAGTAGTCCTTATTTATGGTTTTGGGCACCCCAAAAGGCCCCAAAGTCCTTAAATCATGGGTGCCTGGACCCTTAGGGTTATACTACAAACATAAAGGTAGTTGTCAAAATTATGGTCCCTTTTTGGGTACCCTAAATATTAGGTGCCGTATTATTATAAGGGCCCAAACAGGGCCCAAACAGGGACCCTAATTTTGACAACCACCCATAAGTTAAAACAAAAAGAGAGAGTACAGCTAGTCATGAAGATCTTTATACTACTTTCCTTCGGCCCTAGAGCGGCACATTCAATGCTACGTATGACTCCTTCAAGCATCTCAAGTGTGGGAACTAGGTCTCCGGAACGTTTAGGGTTTAGGGTTTTGGGTTAAGGGTTAAGGGTTTTGGGTTTAGGGTTTAGGGACAAAGCCCTAAAGAGCTAAAAGCACTAAACCTCTAAAGCCCCAAAGGCCTAAACTCTGAAACCTTAAACCCCACAGCCATAAAACCCTAAAGAGCTAAAAACCCTAAAGCCCTAAAGGCCTAAACCTTAAAACCTTAAACCCCACAGCCAAAAAACCCTAATCCCTAATCAATCCCTAAAAGCCTTCAACCCTAAACCCTAAACCCTAAACCCTAAACCCTAAACCCTAAACTAAAAGCCCTCAACCCTCCAGGGCGGCGTGGGTGGCGCTCTGCAGCATCTCAAGACACGTCTCCTCGCCCCAGCAGATGCGAGCACGGGAAAAGACGCCGAGGCCGCCAAGGGTGAAGCAAACCCCGGTTTAGGGTTTAGGGTTTAGGGTTTGGGGTTTAGGGTTTAGGGTTTAGGGTTTGGGGTTTAAGTGGGTGTAGGGTTTAGGGTTTAGGGGTTCCAAGTTGGGTGGGAGTTTGGGGGATTTTTGTGAGGGGGTTCAAGGTTCAGGGTCTGGTACAGGGGTCGGAATATTGAGTCAAATCTATCTATATTCCTCAGACTATGGATCCAGGTCATGCTACTCTGTTCATTCTCAGGGTTATTTCAGGGTTGTACCTTTGTCTCGCATTCATCAGCATCTGTTTATGGGTTTTTGTCAGAGGTCGCGGGGTGGTGTCTACGGCTTTGTCCATCCTTCTTATTTTTGAGTCCTTGATCATTAAACAAGCGCAAACAAGGTTTCGAGCTATGGGGTGCCTTAGTGCTGGAAAGGGTGTTGCATGAGAAGGAACGAGCGATAGCAAGTATGCACCTAGCAAAAGCCCGGGTCTTATGCAATGGCTGGTTTCTTCAGTAACATTGCAGCAGTTGATGCTGTTGCTGCTAATGACTGTAAGCTGTTGCTGTTACCGTCAACGACTCATACAGTAAAGCCTTGCAGCATGTGTCGTCAGTCCTGTTGGGCTAGCTGTAGCCTGTAGCGCTGATTTCGTGTTCAGTGGTTTGCCAAGAGCACCTAAGCATTCATCATCGCCAGCATCTTCATCATCTCTTCCGCCACCATTGTCATGATTGCTTTGCCGATCGAGTTACTACTACTAGCGAAGCTTGTAACTGCAGACCCGAACCCCTGAACCCCTCACACCACCACAAACCGTAAACCCTAATCCCGAAACCCTAAACCCCCCAACCCTAAACCCTAAACCCCTAAACCACTAAAGCCCGAAAACCCTAAACCCGAAACCCGAAACCCGAAGCCCTAAGCCCTAAGCCNNAAACCCTAAACCCCAATCCCAAAGCCAAACCCTAAACCGAAGCTGCAGGTGCAGCCCAGCTTGGTGCGGCTGCTGAGAGCTTCGCAGGGCTTCTCTGCAGATCTCAGCGCTGAGGATTAGGGTTCAGGGTTAAGGGTTTAAGGGTTTAGGGTTAAGGGTTTAGGGTTAAGGGTTAAGGGTTAAGGGTTTAGGGCTTTAGGGTTTAGGGTTTAGGGTGTGGGGTTTAGGGTTTAGGACGTCCTAGCAATGGTATCAGTTCAGTACTGCTATACCACGACGACTGCCAACCGCCACAGATGTTGCCATTTCCACTTCACCACTACCAAGACCACTACACCGACTATACCGTGTCAGTATCACCACCACCCGCAAGCACTGCTATGACCCTGGCACCCTCGTGCCGGTGCTACACAGGAGTGGGTGCTCTTGCTGGTGGCTCGCTGCCGTGCTGAAGGCCGTCCTAGCCGCTTGGCCCTGCGCTGCCCCCTCCCGCCGGCCAAGTCCTGCTCCTAGGTTGCAGGGTTAAGGGTTAAGGGTTTAGGGTTTAGAGGGTTTAGAGTTTAGGGTTTAGGGAACCCTTTTGCCCTTTTTCTTTTTGGGTTCCCTTACTAAAACCGAATAGTAGGAACAAGGGTGCCCTTATTGTTAGGGGGCTACTGGGGAGCCTAGGCTTGGGCCTTCTGAGAAAACCGGAAGAGGAGGCTGGCCAACTGCAGGCCGGGTTTCGTTTGGGTTTAGGGTTTAGGGCTTCAGGGCTTCAGGGCTTAGGGTTTAGGGTTTAGGGCTTAGGGCTTTAGGGCTTAGGGCTTCAGGGCTTAGGGTTTATATAGGGTTTAGGGCTTAGGGTCTATATCGGGTTTAGGGCTTAGGGCTTCGGCTTTAGGGTTTAAGTTTAGGGGGTTTAGGGTTTAGGAAAGGAAGCTGATCAAAGAGACCCTGGGTCTTTATTAGAGTTCGTTTTTCTGAACCCTAATATTTTGGGATTTTAGGACCAGGGCTTCTTCTCCTGCAGTTCACCCAAAAACCCCAAACCCCTAAGCTAAACCACAAAACCCTAAACCCTAAACTCCTAAACCACAAAAAAACCATACAAACAAGAAAGCCCTGCAGCTTTGGGCCGAAATCTTCGATCCGAAAGCGCAGCGCTGGCGGGGCCTCGTGCCGCAGGCCGACCGTCGCGCCCCTGGCGAGGTGGGGTTTACTCCCAAATCCTACCTTAGGGTTTAGGGCTTAGGGTTTAGGGCTTTGGGTTTAGGGTTTAGGGTTTAGGGTTTAGGGCTTTTAGGGTTTAGGGCTTAGGGCTTAGGGTTTAGGTCTTAGGGCTTATGATATATGAATCCTGCACTACCTCACGGACCCTAAACTACTGCTGATGGACAAAATTCTGCATGACCCAAATCTAGTATAGTACCATAAACCCCATAGTTTAGGTATATAAGGTCATGCAGGATTTTGTCCATCAACCGTATGGGCCATAATAAGGAATTATGGCATATTCCTTATTATGGGTAATGCGGGGCTTATCTCATGAACCGGGGGTCCGCTCAGGGTTTAGGCCTATGGGTTTCGGTTTTAGGGGGATGTGTGGGTTTAGGGCTTGAGGTGTAGGATTTAGGGTTTAGGGTTTAGGGTTTACTTTAGTGTTTGGGGTGTAGGGGACCTGATCACCCCAATCGCTGTTTCGGGGATATACCCTATTCTCAAGGGACCGTAACGAACTAATATAGGAGCCTTAATAATTAGAACAGGGTTTGGGGGTATATTATACTATAAGTATATTAAGGAACCCCTGAAACCCTGTTCTAATTTTCAGTTTAAGGGCCGTTTGGCTCGGGGTGTAGAGTCTCGCTGGCGCTTGTTTGAAAGTTTTCAGAAAGAGGAATAGACCCTAAACCCTAAACCGTAATAGATTGAAGCCTTAAGCCCTAAACCGTTTAAGGTCCAAGCTTCGAGCCGGTTTAGGGTTTTGGATTTTGGATAAACCCTAAACCCTAAACCCTAATAAAGACCCAAGGTTTCCTCCATTCTGGGTTTCTAGAAGATGTTGTAGGGTCGCCTTAGCACCTGGGTAGGGCTTCTCCTATAGTATCCATTGCAGTTCATGTTAGGGTTTAGGGTTTAGGGTTTAGGGTTTAAGGGTTTAGGGTTTAGGGACCAACTTGATAGTTAAAGTTAGGTTCCTACGAGGTAACCCAAAAAAATGGAACTACAATGGAGACTATGGGAGTTGTGCACGGATTGTTGCCCCTCACCCGCATCCTCGTGCCCTAACCAGACATGGATCTCTGCCGAAAACAGACTCTGAACCCTAAACCCTAAACCCCAAACCCTAAACCCTATAAACCCTAAACCCTATGCGTGTCAAGTTGGGTCGATGATGCGACGGACTTACGGAATGCCTACATCCCGACATGAAACGCTGAATCATGAATCCCTAGGCCCTAAAGCCATAAATCCCAAAGCCCTAAACCCCCCTAACGTCCTAGCGTCCGAAAGCCCAACCCCTATGCTTTATGGTTTTAATATTTCAGTACGGTTTTGGGGGTTCCTGATTATAACTATACTGAATAATAGTCATATACCCAAACCCTATTCTAGTTAATAAGCCCCTTTGTTAGGTTTTACTTGCAAGGCCCTCTGGGTGCTGGCGATGGGCCCCCTAAACGACCTCTGGGACGTGACGCGGCGCTACGCGCGGTGGAGTGTGGCGAGCCAGGCCAGTCGAGCCCAAATCGGTTCGAGCGAAGGGCGAGGGTTTAGGGCTTTAGGGGTTTAGGGTTTAGGGTTTTAGGGTTTGGGGGTTTAGTAGTTTAGGGTTTAAGGTTTAGGGGTTTATGGTTTTAGGGTTTAGGGTTTTAGGGTTTTAGGGGTTAGGGTTTTAGGGTTTAGGGTTTTAGGGTTTGGGGGTTTTGTAGTTTAGGGTTGAAGGTTTAGGGTTCAGGGTTTTAGGGTTTAGGAAAGTTTAGGATTTAGGGTGTGGGGTTTGGGGAAAACCCTAAACCCAGAAAGGTTCTGTTGCATCACCTGCAAGCCCAGAGTCGAGTTCAAAGCTCCCTTTCCATTGCATGTTTCCTTCCCCGCACATGCTTTGAGGTAGTATAACCCGAAACTCTCAGCCCCTAAACCCTAAACCCACTCGAAGCGCAACCCTAAACCCTAAACGCTAAACCTTAAAACCCTAAACCCTAAGCCCTAAACCCACTCAAAGCGCAAAACTTAACAATGGAGACCATGCTAAGTGCCACACTCGAACCAAAAGTCATGACGGACTCCCAAACCTCCGCAAGATTCCTTAAGTTGTAGGAAGAACCCTAATATTCTAAGGTGTATTCTAGAGTGAGCCCTACTGTCCACCCTAACCCCTAACCCCTAAACTTGTACTCTTAACCCTAAACTTGCACCCTAAACCCTAAACCC